AAAAATTTCGTGGAAAAATAAAATTAAAAGATAAAATGAATCTTTCCATAAACTTTTTGAAATATCCTCATATATACTGAGATGAGCTACGACATTTTCCCAAGAGCGAGAAATCATTTAAAAGTTTTGAACTGGGGAGTTATGTGATCTGAAGAATCTTTTTGAGTCATCCCTCTGATTACAAGTTTGAGAATGGATGGCCCAGGGGGAAGGAGCGAAGAGAGCAGTACCACAAGGAGGTTAATATGATATTTTAGGCAAGAGGTCATGATGGCTAGAACTAAGGTGACAGCAGTGGCAGAGGTAGCTAGACTTGGAAGACATATTTTGGAAGCTGAAAAGACATGACCTGATGATGAATTGGAATTAGAGAGTAAATCAATTGAGAAACCAAGGCATTAAGGTTAAGTCAATGGAGAATCCAAGGTTTTGAGTTATCAGCTGGCCAGATGTTAGAGTCATTTTCTAGAGGAGAAATCAGTTTGGGCCATGCAAATAGGGGCATTTAGTGTGATCAGAAGTTTCATGTTGAACAATAGTGCTGCTGCCCTGCTCTCTAATTTCAACTCATGTTGCTGCTTTCCTCATTCACGTAAAGCTTCCTTCATATACTGCAAATGTGCTAGTCCCTCTCCCATCTCAAGGCCTTTTTATTTGATGTCCCCTCTGCCTGAAATACTCTTGCCCAAGTTCTTCACACCCAAATCATCTCATCCTTTAGGTTTTCACTTAAATGTCGTCTTCTCAAAGAAGCCTTTTTTGACCACCTTATCTAAGAAAGTCTTTCTTAACTCTCTATCCTATTACCTTTTATGTTATCACATTTAATACATGCTATTATCCTGTTCATCCGTGTGTTTATTTCTTGTCCCCCTCATTAATTTATAAGAACTAGGAGAGCAAGGAATCTATCTATCTTGTTTATCACTGTATTTTCAATGCTATACTGTGCCTGATAATATGTGGAAATAAGTATGTCATAAGGACTAATGTGCTATTGCGTGATGTCTGATATAAAAAGTCACCTTAAGGATTGAAGATGATGGAAGATTCTCATAGTCCACATGACACATATATTGACAATCCATTGTCATCCCAGACTATTGACATCTTAACTAGGTAAAGCATCCTTTTCTACTTCTTACTCAAAAATATAAAACCTTACATTTTAACATATATGATATATTAGACTAATATATTTGTAATAAGAGATATTTACATATGAAAAAGATGAAATGATTTAAAATTTTAAATATATTCATACAAAAAAGGTCAAAACTAACTAACAATAATCATAATAACTGCCTTTGAATATTAGAGGTCTATGTTTTTAAATTAACCCCAGTGAATACTACTTGTTTTATACTTCAGTTTCTATTTAAGTTGATAACATACTTAAAATAAAAAAATATTTTCCTCTGTTTTACCCACTCGAATACAATTATTAATGTTAAGTAAGTACCATTTCATCCTGGACTGTGAAAACAGATTGAGGACAGCCTTCAATGTGGTGAAATTTGTGTTAGAATCAGATTAACCTCAGTTTTCAAATACCACATCTTATCATTTAGTTGGTGATAATTGTTCTTTCTTTCAAATTGATCAAATGTAATCACAGTCAGGAACATCAAGCCCAATGAAATTCAATAAAAATGTGCCAATAATATTTGTAAAACTTAAAAATTGAAAAAAAAATTCTTGTCAACCAAAAGAGTGCTTCCAAATAGAGGAAGACCCCTAAGTGAAAGATATAAAAGATTTGTTCTGAAAGAAATCAAAGCTTCCACTTCCAGCATGTAGTGTACCTAGACTAAAATAATTCCCCTGATTTAAAGAACTGTGACACAAGAAAAATACATATAAAACAACAGTTTTCAGAAATTGAACATATGGGACTTGCAGTTAGTGCCTTTGACTAAAGTGGCTTTTACCCTAAAGGCACTTTCTATACCATGGCTCTGGAAGGTAGAATTAAATAAAAGTATGCAGGTCTTGCTGAGATTAAAGAAAGAAGAAAAAAGGCAGAGATAAGCGTTCAATGATACTGAGGCAGCTGGAATCTTCAGAGTATAATACTGTAGAGAAGAAAGATGGGCAGGATGGGAACTACAGAAATCTGCATCGGGGGTCCCTTAAAAATTCAGTCCAGTACTAAGCTACTCGTGAGCAGGTAGAGATTTCCCAGGACCTGAAAAAGACCACTACAGAAACAGGTGAAATAAATCTAAATTCAAGAGGTTGCGCAATATTGGGAAATATAGAAATTCTGACCAATAAGAATGGAAAAATACATAAAACATCTTATACATTCAATATAGAAACCAGAACAATGCATATCACAAGTAAGCCTATACCAGCCCTAAATTAATGATTATGCTAAGCCCAACCTAACAATCATAAAAACAAGTGTCAGAAGGATCAAGCTGATCTGTCAGTAATTAAACTGCCTGCTAAAAAATTGAAACATTCAACACCCCAAAGATAGGAGAATGCTGACTCAGCAATGTAGCATTCTAAATGTCTAGCATGCAATCAATAATTGGAAAAAGTATTGGGAAATGTTTAGCATGCAATCAACAATTAGGAAAATACTTGGGAAGAGTCAGGAAAATATAACCATAGCCTGAGGTGGGAAAACAGTTAATAGAAACAAACTTAAAGAGTCTTAAATTAGCAGCTAATGACCTCACTATGGCTATTATAAAGATATTTAAAAATTAAAAAATATATACCTATATGAGTGAACAAATGAAGAGTCTTAGTAAAGAAATGGAAATTTAATAACTGAAAACAATATTTAAAATATTTTTTAAAAAGTCACTGGAGGGGCTTAACAGATTGCATAATGGAGGTAAAAAGAACAGTGAGCTGATAGGGCAATAGAAATTATCCATGTTAAGGTACAAAAAGAATGAAAAATCCTGTGACCTGTAGGACAGTATCAAGAGCTATGAAATGTGTGTACTGGTCACACCATAGAGGAGAGAGATATTGAGACAAAAAATAATTAAAAATATAGTGAGATTTTTCAAATTTGATTTAGAAAATCATCTCACAAATATAAAAAGCTTAGCAACTTCCAAACACACACACACACACACACACACACACACACAAGCATCACCTTGGCACATTATAGTCAAATTGCTAAAAAGTAAAACTAAAGGTAAAAATTTTAAGGCATCAGAGAAAACAAATTGTATACAGAGAATACCTATAATAATATTAATAGCAGACTTCTCATTAGAAAAAAATGCAAGCCAAAGGACTTGAATATTATCTTTGCATATTAGAAAGAGGGGAAAAATCTTTTAATTTAGAATTCTATAAACGGTAAAATTATGTTTCAAAAATGAAAACCAAATGAAGACTTTTTTACTAAATGTACCTGAGTTAGTTTATTATCAGTTCATCGGTACTATAAGAAATCTTAGGGGCCGGCCCGGTGGCGCACTGGATAAGTGCACCGCTTGGGAAGCGCGGCGGCGCTC